CTCTCTCTCTCTCTCTCTCTCTCTCTCTCTCTCTCTCTCTCTCTCTCTCTCTCTCTCTCTCTCTCTCTCTCTCTCTCTCTGTGTGTGTGGGTGTGGGTGTGCATATAACAACGGAAGCAATCCTATACCCTTGCAGAAAACGGGAAAAAAAGTATTAACGACGCGCGCTAGACTCTCAAGGAGAAGAACCCACAGAATACTCTGGACAAAAGTCACGTCTAATTCGGAAATCGTGGCTGCCATCTCCGGCGCAGAAAGAGACGAAAAAGAGAAACGAATGCAAGGCCGAACATTGAAAAAAAGGGGAATCCCCTGCATCTCTCTCTCTCTCTCTCTCTCTCTCTCTCTCTCTCTCTCTCTCTCTCTCTCTCTCTCTCTCTCTCTCTCTCTCTCAAAAAGCAGCTTGACGGTCGACAGGGGGAGAGGAGCTCTCTCAAAAAGCAGCTTGACGGTCGACAGGGGGAGAGGAGCAAAAAAAAAATACTTCACTAGTCTTTGAGCAGCGAATGGATGGCCGGGACGGCAGCGAACGATGAGCTGGAAGGTCCTGGGTGTTTGGGCGTGGGTTGGACGTTAGGAAGAGAGAGAGAAAGACTCACTTGAGTCAGTCATGCCGACGAAGCGTCCAACCAACAACGCGCAAGCCTTCGGCCCAGCCGTCCATGTTCATTCGAGACAAAAAGCTCAGTAGCACCAATCCCCGACGAAGTTCACGGAGGGCGACGCACCAAGTTCAGGGAGCACGTAAGGAGAGAGAAGGAGACAGGAGAGAGAAGAGCGAGGGGGAGGGGCACGTTTTCTTTAATAAAGGGGCACCAATTCACGGTTGCACCGAGTTCTCAAAGCACGTAGTAGCACGAAGCACCACGTTCACGGAGCACGTAGGGGAGAGGAGAGACACAGACAGAGAGAGAGAGAGAGAGAGAGAGAGAGAGAGAGAGAGAGAGAGAGAGAGAGAGAGAGAGCACACAACTCCAAGCACGTTGCACCATTCGTAGAGCCATTTCACGTAGCACACCGAGTAGAATAGCACCAATTCGTAAAAACAATTCATTCAGCACATCGAGTGGAGTAGCACCAATTCATGTAGCACCCGTTCACGAAACATGAAGCACATAGCACTATAAGCACGCAGCACTAATCCACGTTGAACCGGGGAGAGGAGGGGGAGGGGTGTGTGTGTGTGTGTGTGTGTGTGTGTGTGTGTGTGTGTGTGTGTGTGTGTGAGNGTGTGTGTGTGTGTGTGTGTGTGTGTGTGTGTGTGTGTGTGAGAGAGAGAGAGAGAGAGAGAGAGAGAGAGAGAGAGAGAGAGAGAGAGAGCACGTGCATATCATTGACTTACCTCGAAATGCGGGAGGAGGGCAACGTTGATCACTCTGGGGAATGGCGTCGAGGATCGGAGGGACTTCTCTGTGTGTATGTGTGCACCTTCCTCCTACTTCGTTCTTCACACTTCGCAAGCTCCCTCCCTCCGCCTTCCTGTGGCGCCTTTTTCTGAGCAACCGATCCCAACGCAGAGGGCCAGCGTAGAGGGCCAGCGGGCGACTCAAGTAGAAGCGGCAGGGGAGCGGTATCGGGAACGAACGGGATTGCAGGGGAGCGGTATCGGGAACGAGCGGCAGCAATCCCGTTCCGAAGTCGGCGGGGACTGGGGCGGGGGGGACAGATGGGTCACGCTCGCCTTGGATCAGTGTGGTCTCTTGGGAATAGAAATAGCCGACCGAATCTCACACCTCGTCGTCGTCAGCAGCTTCGAATCCCCTCCTGCAAATTTCCCTGGGAAAAAAAAAGGAACCTCCTGTAAATAATTCGTATTGCAAAATAATTCGCGTTGCAAAATAATTTGCGTGGCATGGCAAGCCAGCGGGGTCAAACCTTTTCCCGCCACTCCCACCGTGCCTACAGTACGGTAACTGCGTGCCACACACCTCTGTCCCCGCAACTCTCCCGCACAGGCGCTACCCTCTTCCCCCGAACACAACGCACCCTTATTTTGGCTGTATCTGGCGGGAAATATAGCTGGTATACATTCATTTTTAGGGTGCGTTATGTTCGGGGGCCTCGCCACCCTGCTGCCAAAATGTGTGAAATGTGGAGAATGCTTCTCCCGCTAGAACGTGGAACGATACGCCGTCGGTTTACATTATACTCCCTGTGATTGCAGTAAGCAATGCAGTAAGCAACTGTCCTGCGCGAGTCCCCGTCGGTTTCCTTCCCTTCCAGACCACTTGGAGGTTCCACTTGGAGGTTTTAGCTTGGGGACGACGGCCTGCTCCTGCTCCTCAAGATCGACGGCACTTAGCATCAGGAGGTTTTTCGGTTTTGGGACTCAGGCCTGCAGCAAGGATCAAGGGCAGCTGTGAGGTTCTCTCAACATCCAGGGTCTCATGGAGAACTTTCCCAGGGTCAAGGATGGCCGTGCTGGTCCTTCCTGCTCCGCCTCCAGGCCCAGCTATGGTATAAGTGACCAATGACTGACCGGTCACAGCAGGGGCCGAGTCCCACTTACCCTCATTCTTCATTTCTGGCCGTCGATCATCATAATCTACGGTCAGAAGTTGAGTTCACGTAAGTGGGACTTGGCCCCAGGCCGCATGACTTCTTGTGCTGCGCCTTCAGGAGTCCAACCGGCTGCTGCTGTCATCGCCTATGCAAACATGCACACCCGACACACAGGGTCAGTTGGGTTATGCAGCTGGAAAACCTTTTCCTTGCTGATTCGGCAAGGGGCTGCCTTCGCTTTTGCAGCCGTCGGATCTCTTTGTTCCATGCCAGTCTGCCTTTTTAGCCTATTATCTGGGTCTTTCGAGTTCCCTTTCCTGTGATTCTTGGTGCAGGAGGATCTCTTCCTAAAATGTCTATCCCAAGTTTTCAAGGTTTGTCGTCCCACAGTGTCGTACCAAGGGTATTTGGCGTACTTTTTTGCAGGTCACACCCGGTGCAGCCTCGTTCGTAGTTGACAGCATTCTGTGTAGCCAAAGCGTGGCCTTGGCATGGGGTCGCTGGGATTGGCGCAGGAAAGGATCGATGTGTGAATATGGGACGTGCCAAGACTCGCCAGGTAGGACTTTCATGGGGGCGGCAGACCACGAACACCCGAGAAATAATTTAGTTATCGCCTCGATGGGTTACGGGTTAGGTGTGCGCTGTCGGTGCACATACCCTTACAAGGGTATCCGCGCTGATTTTTTACGAGTGGCAGGAATGGGTCTTGGCTTGAAAATTGGATGTGCTGTGCGAGACGCGACCAATTTTTTTTTTGTGTGATCGACTGTGCATTCGAGGAAAAATAGGGAGTGTGTGGGCACGCAGTTTTGAGGCGTGTGTGATGTTTCTTATTGATGTTATAAAGTCGGAGCATCTACCGGCCAACTATTCGCTTTCGGTTAAATTAGGACTAAGTGATCTTTTCCTTTGGTCGGTACGTTTGACCGTGACGAGCGTGCACTCGCGCGGAGGCGGCAGCATTATCCTCGTTGCCAGGTCCAGTTACCGGTGCCGCGTATTAAAGAGATTTACCTTTGACTTATTTTGAGGTAGCGGTTGAACCCACATAAAGCAAGATTCGTGGGAGAGAGGTTATCATGTTAATCTAGGCGGTGCGGGCAACCATTGGCTTCGACATGGTGTGTGCGAGCAGAGCCTGGCACAATGGAAAGTTGGAAGTTTTGTCCACCTGCGGATACAGGTGGGGGTCAAAATCGGCAACGGCGGACATGTTCCTTGTTCATTATTTTGGTGGAACGCCGTTGTTCCTGGTAGAAGCATTAGCTGGCTGCTTTTGGAGGTTTGGGGCGGTGTGTACGTCAGCACCGCTGAGGCACCTACCCTTTTGACTTTCTGCCCTTGCTCCACGGTGATTCACAAAGAGGGCAGGTGTCTGGTCACTATTGTGACCATTTGTGGCAGTGTCTTGGCGGTATTGTGACCATCCACTCAGTCAACGCCCCGCTTATATTTTGGTCGCACGGACATTGTTGACTGACTGAAGTTGATCTCGGTTATGGGATTGTTCCCCACTGTGAACAGATGAGTGAGATAGTATAAATCTGACTTACCAAGGATTGGTCACCACGATGATAATATCTCGGGGTCGTTGCTATGGCACGGTTCTTCGTGTGTTTGTTGCTCCCTGGATTTGTTGTCTTGAGAGGCAACCTCCCCGACGAGCCTATCCCAGTTTATACAACCATGAACTGTTGAAATACAAACTTGAGTTCAAACTCCACTAGCCGCAGATGAGTAAAATACCACAATTATAAATTGTTTGGGACCGAGCTTAATTTTCGGATAGATGTTGGTGTTGGTACGGAGACCGATATGGAACCAACTGGCCTAGCTCAATTGGTACACCCCTGAATAGTCAAAGTACATACCGGAGGTCGAAGCCAGTGGGAGCAGACGAGCAAAATATTGCAATTTGGAGTTACCTAGGGCCAACCAGTTCCGCACTTGTGCCTCAGACCGATATGGAACCAACTGGCCTAGCTCAATTGGGACACCCCTGAATAGTGAAAGTACAAACCGGAGGTCGAAGCCAGTGGGAGCAGACGAGCAAAATATTGCAATGTGGAGTTACCTAGGGCCAACCAGTTCCGCAGTTGTGCCTTGGGGTTATTGCCCCGTCACGAGTCCTTCAGGACATTCATTAAAATTTGAACAATACAAAAAAAAATGGCATAACCCCTGTCTCTGGTTCCAGGGCCGACCATGCAACCAATGGGCCTAGCTCAGTTCGTACAACCGGACAGTTGAAATACAGACCCGAGTTCGAATTCCACGAGAGGCAGATGAGTAAAATACTGCAATTCTGAATTATCCGGAGCCAGTTTGTCTGAAGATTGTATCCTAAGGCCGTTGTCCCAAGACCTGGGTCCTTCGGGACAACTGGTAAATTGGAACAGTGCAGAGGAGGTTGACATGACCTCCATTGCTTGATACTACCTCGAGCATTCCTAGAGCGAACCCACGTGTGAAGGTTGGTCAGATGCGTTAGTGCGGATGTCTATTTGAGGTAGGCCATGTGAGAGTAACAGATTTTTTTTTTTTTTTTTTTTTTTTAGGTCGTCAAGTTTATTGAGCGCTAAGCATGATCGGAGTGCGCTAGGAGTTGAGACATTCAAAGAAGGAGATGGCGAAGAAGAAGTGAGAATGGCGGGGACGAGAATGCATCTCTCTCATTCCTGTATGGATTTGAGCATGGCGGGCTGCTAAATAGGGTTTTCGAGGGCTGGTGTAACCCATATGTGGAATCAGTTTGGCTGTTGAGAGGGTAGAGAAGGAGATGGGAGAAAACAAGGGTGGGCGAAGGAGTCAATAAAGGTGATGAGGAGGAAGGTCGAGATGAAGGTTGTTGTATCTCGGTCGTTCCGTTACTGATTTGGACAAACCAAGATGCTAATTGGGCATTTCAAGGCGTTGCGGGGAGAATGGGCGCCTACGATTTTGGGTTTGAGCAGTGGATGGTGAGGTGCAGACACCAGGAGCTGCATCGGGGAATGAAGGTTATTTTTTTATCAAAATATGCAATATATGTTCTCATGTTTTGAGGGAAAATTCATTTTCATCTAGCCAATTTGGTGTGTAGTAGAGTTCGCGGTCGCCCTCAATGTTTTTGTTCTTGTAGCTGGTCCTGTCGGGGTTGCCATGAAGTTCCTCGCGATTATCATTGCAGACAGCATGGTCGCCTTCGCTAAGGTGATCGTCCTGTTCATCTTGAAGGTCGTGCAACTCAACCGACCTCACTGTGTCCACGCTTGTTCACGCTGGTGACTGCCAAATAGCTCGTCTCACGTGCTTTCGTTTTCCGTGGTCGTAATTGCAATAGCCCGCATTTTGTTGGGCGTATCATGAGGGTGATCACTGTCATACTCGTTATCGCCAACCGATCGAATTGCACTCCCCGAGCCTCTGATGCCAATCATGATACTTGTTGAAAGGGCATGAGCATGTATAAGCGGACTACGGGGTGTCAATAAGAAGAAAGGAGGGTGGATTGGGAGATGAGCGAAGGAGAGGAATCAAAATGGGAGGTGAGTAGGAGGATTAAGGAAAGGAGTGCGACAATAGGTAGAGAGAGGAGGGATACGTAACAACGAAAAGGAAACACGAAGCTTAAACGACTTACCTGCAGGATGTCTGTGTTGTTCGTTAATCTTTGGATCCTCACCGTGATCGCGACCAAGTGCATGCAGGGTAAGGATTGAACTAGCTGCGACTACGACCATGTACATACAAAAGGCAATGAGTAGGACCAACGGGGAGGAAGACAAAAGGGGAGGGAGGAATGAGCAAGGAGAAGAGAAGGCGCAAAGGAAATGGGAGTTTCCGATACCATTGTGCTCGTTGTTGAGTCATACACGCAGTGCTCATTGTGACTGTCGTTTTCGTTACAATATTTGTGTCCTCAATGACCAGCTCTCCATGTTGGAGTAACTCATCGGGTTTTAGTGGAAGTTTTACCCACGGTATGGTGCGCAGCAACAGGGGGCTTTGAACCATGTGTCCTTCCATATTATAGCGGAAGATTCACTCTCGTTTTACACACTTCGTGTAATCGTTGTCGTCGCCTCTGTAAAAAAAACATACAAATTGTGATCATCATTGTGATCATGCATGTGATGATCGTCTTCTTGTGGATGTTCAGCTCAACAACCCTCCTCGTAAGTATTCTTCGTCATT